CCGTAGTGATACTGCCTCGGAAACCCAAGGAGAGGTTGCTATGAGTCGGGTTTGACTCGACGGCACATACAACAACAACAACAACATATATATATATATATATTTTTTTTAAACCAGTTTTTTTCATGGCTGTATCCGTAGTACTTAAAATGTGTTTTTAATTAGTTTGTTCTTTAAATCAGGGTGTCTAGGAGTTCAACTTTTCAGCTTCCTCCTTCCTCTAATTTCCTTTGGGGCCTCCTTGTCCAGACTGTATAGTGTAATCAGTCACTTCCACACTGTCCTCACTTTTCACATTCCCTCAACCATTTTGGCCCTACAAAGCTGATTCCTAAGCATCATCAGTGCCTATCAGCTGCTTTTTTTTCATTTGTGTTTCTGTAGGCAGAATGTTGCTGGAAAATGTTACAGAACTGTCTTGAATGCTTCTAATATAGAGCCAGTAGTCGTTGAGTCAACTTTAACTCATGGAGACCCTACAGAGTAGAACTGTACTCCATGGGGTTTTCAGTCGCTGAATTTTTGGAAGTAGATTGCCAGGGTTTTCTTCTGAGGTCCCTCTGGGTGAACTCCAACCTTCAATGCTTCAGTTAGTAGCTAAGTGTGTTAACTATTTGCAAACACATGGACTCCTAATGGATCTGCTCTCCAACTTCAGCAAGGCCCTCTTTGCTGCCTACTTATTCTTTTATTTCCCTCATCATTTTCTTGGTGCCTTTCCCAAGGTACACCTTTGCAGTTTTTTGCTCACCTTTAAGCTCTCAGTCTTATGCTACATCAGTTTTTTCACTCTCTAAAGATGATTATTTCAACTTTAGGAAGAACTTGTAAGACATCTGCAAGTACCAGTTCCTTGCCATCCTCTCCCTTCCCTCTGTCTTAGAGTATTTTTTTCCATCCTATTTTGTTTTGTTTTGTTTTTTAGGTGCATTTTATTGAAGTATAATTTATGTACAGTGAAATACATAAAACTAAAGTGACATGGGTCAGTGCATTTTTTTTTTCAGTGTTCCCTCCCATCCCTGGCAACCAACGAAGAAAGTTTCCTTCCATATATAAACTTTTCCTTGACTCTTCACCACAACAAACTAATACTATATTTGTCTTTCTGTGATTGAATTATTTCACTCAGCATAATGTTAATTCATGTTATGTGGTGTTTTGCAGACTCTACACTATTTTTTAGTGCTGCATAGCATTCCATTGTGTGTATATACCATAGTTTGGTCATCCACTCTTCCATTGATGGGCATGTAGGTTGTTTCCATCTTTTTGCTATTGTAAATAGTGCTGCGATGAACATGGGTGTGCATAT